CACTTCTGTGCACATCAGTGAATTCGGGACACCAGTGACCCTCCAGGCACACCCTGGCTTTCCAAGAGTCAACCCCGTGCACTAATTTCATTTGGGAATTAAGAGCATATTCAATCAACTGCCTGCCTGTCTAAGTTCGGCATCTAAGGACTGTGCACCGAGCCTTCCAGGAAACAGGGACTCTGGGAATGAGGCCGACCTTCTTACATTATAAAACTGGACTGTCAGCTTGCACACTTAAAGCCGGATGTTAAGAAGACCCGCAAGCATCGAGGGAAGCTTCGCCATCCAGACCGGAAATCCCAACACTGCACACAGAGCACATGGCCCTCGTGTGTGTCCCGTGACACACGGCTGCTCTCTGGGCCCTTATGAAGGTTGTCAAGCCATAGTCTTCCCCAAATGGTCATTGATTCTTGGCTTAGAAAACTCTGGTATTTTATTTCAAATCCACAAAGCACAAAAATATTTGCTTGCCCAGGTTTGTCTGTCCAGTTTCCCCATCACGAAACGCAGCTGGAGTTCAGTCTGCTCGGACGAGGGGTCTTGCGCCGTCTCTCCTCTGGCTTGTTCTCCATGGTAGGCTAGCGTGATGGTCTTGAAATCATGCAGTCACACTGTGATGAGAGCGCGGAGGCAGGGACGTGACGGGATGGGCTGGGGAGGAGGGAGGAGCAGAGAGGGGCCGACTCAGAGGCAGGACTTCCTGCCGGGCCAGACGGAGCGGCCTGTCCGCCCCCTGCCCTCTCTGGCTCCTCCGCACCTGCCCCCGGCTCTCCTGCTCCGGTGGAGGCGGGATGGGGAGGGCGCCCTGCGCTGTCCAGTACCCCCAGGACAGGGCCAGAGTAGAAGGACCGGGGCTTCACTCTGCAGTTGGAAAAGCCCCTGCCCCACATGCCCGCCTTTGGGTCTGGCTGCCCGCGGAGCGGGGGGACCGGCTGGGGGGCAGCGGAGGGAGAGCAGGGGACGACGGGGCTGGTGTGTCTGCAGAATGACGAGCGTTGTCACTTCATCCCCAAGTCTTTTTCAGGGAGAGTCCCAGGCATTGCCTGGTCCGTGTGTACAGCCCCCAGGTTCCCAGATGGCCGGGTCAGGAGACTCTGCACGGTGAACCCCGCATGAGAAGGTGCTCCTTTGGGGGCTGGCTGTGGGTTGAGAAAGGTAGTGGGTGAACGCAAGGTGTTGTGGGGTTTTGGGGGCCCCCATTTGTTGTTATTAGGCATTTATTTGTAAATGCACCACTTAGGTGTCATTAGGCCTCCTTTTCAAGTTGCAGAAACCCGCTCAGACTAACTGAAGTTAAAACTGGCAGTTTATCTCCTCCTGTCATTGAAAAGAGATGGCTTCTGGCAGCTTTGAATCCAACGGTCCTGAAACTGTCAGCAGGACGCTGACTCTGTCTCCCTCTTTGATCCCAGGCCCATTTCCGGGCCAACAAACTCCGGAGCATCTGCGGAGTGGCCCCATAGCTCCCCGGCCTGGACAGGCCTTCCCTGGCCTGGGTTCCGTGCCGGGCACTGCACCAGGCGAATGACGGGGCCTGAGTCACGCCCCTGCCCGTGGTGGGGGATTGCAGTGGTGGGGTCACTTTCACCAGCCTGCGTGGAATCTGCTTCCCACGCGAGGAAAGGGGACATTTGCCGAGGAGGGAGGAACTAGGGGGAGAAAGACCACAGGCGTTTGCCCCTTATGCCCTGTGCGGCGAAGGCCGGGGTAGGAGCTGCAGAAATAAGCAGTAGATCACGTAGAAGGAAGCATGTTCCTGCTGTTCCACATTCACCGTCCAGCTGGGGGTCGGAGAGCAAGGACAGACGGACGCGGAGCGGGGCTCGCGGCCATGGCCACACCTGGAGGCGATACAGGCGCTGATGGGCTGGGGTTCCGTCCCCAGAGGCTCTGAGTCACCGGATCTGGGAGTTTGTAAAACTCCATCCACCATGGAGAGGCAGGGACGTAAGGGAACTGGAGACCTAGCCGGTACCCGCCCTGTCACCGGTGTGAAGACTCAGCGGCGGTGCAGCTGAACTTGTGGCGCTGGTGACCGGGAATTCTCTCGAGGTGTGGCCCCCATGAGGCCCCCTTCCTACAGCCTGTTAGGCAGGATGGGGGCCAAAGTCGTGGAGAAGGGGAGTTCGGCCTCTCTGTCTTCTGAGCCTTGAGCTACAGTTATTAGTCAAGGGTGAAAGAGACAAGTTTGCCCACTTTCTCCAGCTCATGTTTTAGTGGATTTGAGCCTCGGAAGAGAACAGAGGCAAAATGAGGAATACATTGGAAAATGACAAGTGTGCCCCCAGGATGCTGTGTGCAGAAGCAGGCAGAGCTGTGATTTCTATTCTCGAGACCCTCAAGTCGTGGTGCTAAGTAAAATCTTCAGGTTATGGCAGTTTTGAGTCTAGACAAGGGGAGGCAGGGAGCTGTGTGCGTCTCCAGGCCAAACCCCTATGGCCAAACGTGATTGGAATTTATTTAGGTGTCCGTTAGGCTATTTACAGATTAGAAGTCTTGCCTGCTGCGGCTGAATGAGCACCGTCTCTGGGACGGAGGGCCTCAAGGTCACCCTAAGACGCTGGCCGGCCCCCAGTGATAACCACAGCTCCTTAGCCGAAGGCTGTGTGTCTGGAGATTAACGAGTGACTTTTTTTTTTTCGGTTACATTTTGAGGTTGGGGATGGGACATCACTTCCTTTGGCTGAATGTAAAAGTTGCACAAAAGTTTGCAAGTTCCCTTCTTTGGGTGTTTATACTGACGGGCTTTCTGAGAGCTAGTGACACTCCTCAAGTTATTGACAACCATGTGGAGATTCATGTTCAGAAACAAAAAGCCGCCAGCCTCGGTGAGTGTCCGTGTAGCTGTCCACCCTGAGCAGCGACCGTCAGGACGTCCTGTGACTTAAAGGACTTTTCTCCACTCTCTGCCCCCACAGGACAAGGGTGACCCGCCCTCGCTCGAGACGAAGACAGCTGTGTCGGCCGAGGTAAGTGATACCAGCTCGGCTTGTTTTTCTCCACTCGAATATCACTTACATTTAAAAAAAAAGTTCAGCGTGAAGTCTTTTTCGCTTTGGGGGTTGTTTTACGCTGCCCAAAGGCCAGCAGAGACAGTGGTGTGCTTGGAAGAGCGGAAGCCGCCCCCGCCGCCCCGCAGTACGATTTGAATTCTCCGATGTTGCCCAGAGTTGTGTAATAACGTCTTCATACAGCAGGGGTCTGTCTTGCGCGTCACCCTGGGAATGTCACCCAGCTTTCCAGGAAGACAGTTTCATTCTGAATCCGAAGCCACTGGGGAGGTGATGCGTGTGGCCTCATGCACAGCACTTCTTTGAAATCTTTCTGTGCCTTCACAACGAGCAAATGAGACATCAGAGCTGGGCAGGGCTGCGACGCCGGGCGGCCAGTGCTGTCCACCTGGGGACCAGTGGGCTGGCGGCCGGCCAGCTTCAGGATTCTACTGTGTGCGGAGTTCAGGGTCCGCTGGAAGCTTTTCTAGGAATCTGGCCTAAAATGAATCGTTTTGGATGGAGGTAGATTTCTTGTAATATTTTGAGCAGCTGTCTGGTTGAAATACTGACATTAGGGATAAGGGATGTTATAAGATGGACTTATGGGTGTTTTGTGTCTCCCAGCAATAATAACACAACCTGTGCCCGCGGAACAGGGGCAGCCTTCATTGTCCAGCCTATAGATTCTCCATGGGCTTGGCAGGTACGACAGCCCGATCCCTGTGGGTTCTATACAGGTCACAGAAGCCTGGGTGCAGGTCAGGCTTGTTTAATTTACATGAATGCATCAAACCACGTCCTGTTCATACTAGACAGAACTGCTCCTGGTTGTCGGCACGTTGGACTCTAAGAGTCCTGCTTCCCTGGCGCTGTCCAGGTGGAGGGCCACCAGAACCCATGCAGTTGGGGAGCTGCTCTGAGAAGTGATGGCTTCTCGGTGACTCACTGTGGGCCTGGGGCCCAGGGCCCTGCGGAGCCCCTGTGTTCCAGGGTCTGTAATCTTGGAGCAGAGGAAGCTGGGGCCAAGAGTGGCCAGTCCTGCATTTGGTTGCTGACATAAACAATGCTTATCACTGAATACCAGAGTGTTACTTTTCATACATTTGGGGGTTTCCTCTCTGAGTCTCATTGTATTTTTATTAACAGCCCAATCTGAAGAATTTGGTTGGAAAAAAAGTCCTCAATACCATCATCTTGTATGAATTAGATTTCCTTATTAGACATAAAAATTGTGTCAGTAGAATGAAAAGTGAATGATCAATGATCTCTGGCTATATAAAATCTCAAGATGGTCCTAATTATTTCAGCCTGGTGACTAGACAGATGTCTATACCATTTCGAACTGCATCCTAATGTCAGTAAACTCAGAAAATGAGATATGTTGTAGTAGCAGGAAATTGGCCTTTCATACTTTCTTCATAACCTTTTCTCAGTCCATTTTATAATCTGTTCAAGAAAAGAATTCCCTGGGGGCTCAGATGGTAAAGAATCCGCCGGCCATGTGGAAAACCCAGCTTTGATCCCCGGGTCAGGAAGATCCTTTGGAGAAGGGAACAGCCACCCACTCCGGTATTCTTGTCTGGAGGGAGAATCCCATGGACAGAGGAGCCTGGTGGGCTACAGTCCACGTGGTCTCAGAGAGTCAGACATGACTGAGCAACTTTCACTTTTCACTTTCAGCTGATGATTCTTAGCAAAACTTTTATTCAGCTTTATAAGGAAGCCCAGGGATTCACGGGAAAGTGCGTGTCTGCTGGAAAATCGAGCTCATTGTTCACACTATCACGCTCCACGTTTAGACCAGCCACACTAAACAGCAGTGGTTCTTCTCGGTCGTGGCAATGAACAGAGGCAAAGAAAAGGAGCCTGGTGGGTCACAGACGGGGTCCTGGGGTGGGGGGGGTGCAGGGCCCTTTGTGAGCCGTTCCCTCAGCAGCCAGTGGTGGGGTGGGGGGGGTGCAGGGCCCTTTGTGAGCCGTTCCCTCAGCAGTCGGTGGCCAGGCCCACGAGGTGTGACCTGCAAGAGCCACAGACAGGGCCCAAACGCTCTTCAAGGAGGCTGCTTCTATCAGGCCTGGATCTCCTCCAAAGCTGAGGCGCCCGGGGGCCCAGGAGGGGCTTTCTGGGTGGCCAGGGCCCCTCTGGGGTTCTTGGCCCCTGAGTGGGTGAGAACAGTTGGCTGTGTTTTCAGATCCACCCTGGGTATGATGAGCAGGAATTCCTTCTTATATTGAGGACTGTTGTTTAGTCACTAAGTCATATTCAGTTGCAACCCCATGGACTGTAGCCCGCTAGCCTCCCCTGTCCATGAAATTCTCCAGGCGAGAATACTGGAGTGGGTTGCCATTCCCTTCTCCAGGGGATCTTCCCAGGGATCATACCCACGTCTCCTGTGGGTTCTTCACCACTGTGCCACCCGGAAAGCCCCATTGAGGACAGAACCCGCAAATCAGCGCTCACACAGCATCCCCTGGGCGCACCCCGAGAGTATGGATAAAGTCCCGGGACAGCCGTGAGTGACGAGTCTGCCTTTCCCCTTCTCTCCCCCTCTCTTTCCACGTGTACTTTTGATAAGACTTTTCAAAGCTCTATGTTAGATTGCTACCCCAACTGGGAGCATTGTGGGGGCTCCTGTTTCAAACCCTAAGGCAGACTTAGCTGTCGGGCAGTGAGCAGGTGCCGCTCCTGACTTTGACAGGAAGCCTGATATTTTACCAGCCGGGTCGGAGAGGTGCTAATGGGCACAGAGCCGCCCGTCCTTAGCCTGTTTCACCTGATAAACCTACTCGCGGCCTCCAGCTCCACGGCTGATTGAATTTCCCCTTTTTCTATTATGGTTTCACTCTTCACTTGATTTTATAGGAAGCTCTTTATTGATTTAGTTTTGGCCGAGCTGGGTCTTCGTGGCTGCTCACTCGTTTCTCTAGTTACCACGAGGGGGACTGCTTTCCAGCTGCGGAGCACGGGCTTCTCTGGTCGGGGAGCAGGGCCCTGAGGTGTGTGTGACTCCTGGGTTCTAGGTGTGACTCCCGGGTTCTAGGTGTGCCGGCCTCCTGGGTTCTAGGTGTGACTCCCGGGTTCTAGGTGTGCCGGCCTCCTGGGTTCTAGGTGTGACTCCCGGGTTATAGGTGTGCAGGCCTCGGTGGTTGTGGCTCTAGAGCTAGGGCTTGGCTATCAGAAGACATGTGGAATCTTCTTGGACCAGGAACTGAACCCGTGTCTCCTGCATTGGCAGGATGATTCTAAGAAGCAATTTAAAAAGAAGACATAGGAGGTAAAAATTCCAAAGGGGGGAGAGAATTCTTTGGGCCAGCACTCACCCTTCACGGGACAGAAGGGTGGCTTGTTTAGAGTGGCTTCTGCGCCCTAAAGGGCTGTCTGGGTTCCTTCCCTGGTCTCCCTTCCTGTTTTTTTCATTGCTTTGGAATGGACTGAATGCCCTTTTCAGACAGTGGCATTGTTCAGTGAGCCCCTGATTCCGAGGAACTTTACAAATAAAGAGACCTGACTGCTCCCTCGGGGCCCTGCTCTTGCAGCCGNCTTCCTGTTTTTTTCATTGCTTTGGAATGGACTGAATGCCCTTTTCAGACAGTGGCATTGTTCAGTGAGCCCCTGATTCCGAGGAACTTTACAAATAAAGAGACCTGACTGCTCCCTCGGGGCCCTGCTCTTGCAGCCGAGGAGCAAGGCCTTCCCGGGGGTCACCGGGCAGGACTTGAGACTGGGCGGCGTCGTGGGGGGCGTGGGGAGAGGAGGCAGACGGTGGAGGGCAAGGCCAGGCGGGCCAGCACAGACCGCGGCCCGCGCCCCTCCTCCACCGGCAGGACATCACGGGGCGTGGGTGTCGTCTACTTTGTGTTGATTCCTAATAATTTGAGAGACAATCCATTCTTTTGTCAGATACCTCCACATTACGTGAATTAAATAAGGGGATGACTCACACTTAATCCTCTCAAAAGGAACTTTTCAAAGCGCTGCGGTGTGCGGGAACACTGGTCCGCATGAACCCGTCGCTCTTTTCCGGAGTTCGCGGCGACCGAGAGAGGCCGTGTGACAGGCGGCCCCCAGCGGAGTCACGAAACCGCTCTCGGCCTGGAGCTTTGAAGCAGGGGCCGAACTGGCTTCTCTTCTCTGTCGCGCCCTGTATGACTGTGCTTGGATCTGCTCATCCAGGACCAGATGGATCCCCCGAGGGTTTGAAGCCTTGGAATAAGGGTGATTTTTTTTTTTCTCTTTGACTTTCTTTTTCATCAATCTTTCCTTGCGTCCGCCTTGAATCCTGAGGCCCTTGGTAAAGTATTCACAGAAGTACTTTGCATCTTGTTGATGGTGTTGATAAGGTGAAGGTGAGGGTGTCGTTAACACGGCGGGGCAGAGGGGCTCGCAAGCGGAAATCTGGGTTTTCAGCCTGTTTTCAGGGGCAGAAGTTCTCCCGTGGAGCGGAGCCGCCCCTGCCCGGCTAACTCAGCTCCAGGTTAAGGCTTTTCACTCCTTCCCGCCACAGTGGACGTGTGGACATCTGTGTGGGGCCGGGGCTATCTCCCCTGCCCACCAGCAGACCTGGGGCAGATAAGGAAGGCAGGCTGGGACTGCAGAGAGGGTGCAGACATCCTCTCGAGGCATCCAGGGTACCCAGGGAAGGTTCCAGAACAGCAGAGGAGATGCCTGCGTCAAAGCAGCACAGTGCGACCTCTGCGCGCGTCCCCATCCCTCCGCAACAATCACGGGAGAGTCGAATACGGTCTCGGCTCTGTGTTTCTGTGACTGTGGGTCTTTCCCAGTCTGCGTGTAGTGCTTCAGTGGCAACTACTCAGAGGCAAATGTGGAGCTAGGAAAATCCTTTGATCAAGGTCACAACTGTAAATTTACTTTTGGGGTATCTGGAGAAAAATTAAGCATTAACCTTAGGGGGAACAGCTGACCCCAAATTTTAGCATAGCTTACTTCCCTCCCCCCAGCCAAAACAGAAAAGATTTATAGGGGAAAAAAAAAATCCCAAAATTCTTAGGGATTTTCATTCAGTTCTAGGATCCAAGGTGATTTTTTTTCTTCATACTTTTCTGTAATTTCTAAAGAAATCTAAGCTACTAATCAATAATCATATTTTAAGAAATAGTTAAGGCTCAAGTCATTCTAAAAATACTAAAATAACTATAATCACTGGGTGATTATATTACAGATGTCTGAAATTTAATAACAGATGGATAATGCTGATGTCTTAGATAATTTCACCAACCAAAGGGGGCATTTAGTGGCCTGTAGTGACAAATAGCATGAAAAGAAGTAGTCAGTTCATTAACTGACAGGTCACTGCAGTTTGCAATGCAGCATAAGAGATGTCACCAGAATTATACACCCGAGCAAGCCAAGGGGTTTGAGATTTGTCTGACGTTTGTAGCTCACCTTGCAGATGTCTCAGCCATGATGATGGGCATTGAGACACTGACCTCCAGTGCACTGGAGAAGCAGGAAGTGCTCTGTCTATTTTTCACAGGCCGAGGTGACAGCCAGCACCCTCACTTCCCACCTGCTCTCTCCATGCATCAGAGCCGAGCACCCGCCCTTGGCCAGCCAGTTCCCCAGGGTCACGGTCCCTCCCTGTCGTCACTGCTCAGCGAGGAACCGAGGGCCGAAGGAAACCAAGCCCTTCACTCTGGCGTGCAGCCAAAAGGTGATGCGTAGACCTGTAGGCCTGTGTCTTTCAAGCAAGCAGAAAAGCTTTTCAATTTTCTCTTATAAGCCTGAGCTCGCTATCTCACACCTTCTACTGCAGTTTAGCGGGGCATTTTCTAAACTATGGGAAATTATGGCTTTCATAATCTACAAAACATTAATCTACAAAGCTACTATTTTTTACTACCATTCCTGTTATGAGTTGGCCTCATGTGAGACTCCAGGCTAACATGTCTGATCCCACCCAGGACCTAAAGATGCAGTCAGGAGCGCCGTTTCATCTCCACAAGAGGGGATTAACTGTCGGGGGGGAGCTGCTTGGCTGGCCAGCCCCGGGCTCTCTGCGGCCCACGGCCTGGGAACACGGCCGGCTGGTCTAGGGATGCCCGAGCCTTCACGGTGCCAGCACCCACCACCACTTCGACAGGACACGGCCTCCGTGTTCCTCTCTCGGAGAGGTGATGCCGCCCTCATACTGCGATCCTTTTCACGCGACTTCACTTAGGGATGTTTTCCTCCCCGGGAATACGGTGACCGTCCTTTATACTGTCCATGACAGCACTGAATTTTACTAGGAGGGTGGTCGTGTGCTGGGATCAAAAGAGGGCAGACCAGGAGCCCACAGGCCTCGGCTGAGGCCCTCCCCTCACCCCACCCGGCCACTCGGTGAACGTGACCTCGCTTAGGCCAGGTCACCCGACTGGGCGGCTACTGAAAGGATGGGGCTGTCATCCTTTATTGGAGATAAACGGTCAGATCGTCTCAGCAGTTTTTCTTTCTTATATGTTTATACATGCATATAAACATGCATTCATGTATGATGTATAAATATACATGTGTAACATACACATGTATACATTCATAAGGATGTAGATGAATTTGTCACTTGTGGTCTTCAGATTCTTTTCACAGACTTTTCCCTCACGTTATTAGAAGGGGCTCATTCATGATCAAGGGTTTCCACTGGGCTTTGCAAAATATAATGACCCTCCAGCTGGGGTGCTTAGAGAGCCCCGTGGCCCTGATTTGATCCCGCCGTGCAAGACCATCACCCATACCCCCCACACCCCTGGCTCCAAGCACCTGCTGGTCGTGAGCTGGACACATCTGATGCTTTCGGACCCTTCATCTCTGCGATGGTCTGTCTGATCCCATGTGGGGGCCCAGAGGAGTGGGATTCCAGGTTTTACAGAGGAAGACAGGGCCTAACGCTGCAAAGTTGATGTTATCGTGTCACTGAAACATGAAATGGGTGCTCTGTAGAGGTGCTGGCGGTGGTTTATTTCCTGGGCCTGATCGTCCCCGCATTTTGGCTTTTCTGCTGGAGGATAGATGCCCGTCTGACAAGTCCTTTCAAGCAGGGACCAGTAAACGGTGATAGCTTTTTCAAAATAATTTCTTTTAAGAGTGTATTTGGAAGATGAGTAAGCCAAGACTGTCATGACAATTTTCCATGGCACAAAATAAAAGGTAATTCATTGCCACAGTCACCATGACAACATTCAGTTCACGTACTTACATATACCTGCAATGAAATTCTATCAACAGTGAAAGCTTTTTATTGAAACAAGCCACTGGATCTAACATGACCATGACTGAGCCACAGATCAAAGACCCTATCTTTTTGTTAACATATTTCCAAAGGACTAAGCCCGAGATAATTACCTTTTAATTCCCTTGGAAGTTTGAATTGAATTGCAGTTGGGATACCCCAAAATACTGTCACGAAAACCCTGATGGTTTTAGGTGGGGAGAGTTTAGGCAGACCCTCAGCTTCCCTTTGCCCTGCCCCGTTCTCTCTCTCTCTCAGAACCTGGGCACGCCGCCCCCAGAGACGACGGGAGAGAGGCTTGTCCACAAGCGCGCTGTGTCAGGCGTTTCGGGGAAAGTGTGGTGCAGGGAAGACGGCATTTTCTCTTTGAACTGTCGCCCTGCACCCCTGTGGCTTGAGCTCATCTAAGCTGGGCTTGATTCCTCCTCCCAGGACATGCTTCCCACAATCCATGACCAGACCAGGCGCTGGGCAGTCACTGTGTCACCCTTGGGGGCTTCCCAGGTGGCGTGAGTGGTAAAGAACCCGCCTGCCAATGCAGGAGACTTAAGAGATGCAGATTTGATCTCTGGGTCAGGAAGATCCCTGGAGGAGGGCATGGCAACCCACTGCAGTATCTTGCCTGCAGAATCCCATGGACAGAGGAGCCTGGCGGGCTACAGTCCAGGGGGTCGCAGAGTCAGACTCGACTGAGCGACTGAGTGCACGTCCAGCGGGGAGGAGTTTGGTGGGCTGATTTTCATGCTCTAGAGATGCCTCTTGTTTAACTCTTGGGGTTTCTACTTTCAGGTAGTACACCAGATAGATGTACCCTAGACTGAGCGCACGTCCAGCGGGGAGGAGTTTGGTGGGCTGATTTTCATGCTCTAGAGATGCCTCTTGTTTAACTCTTGGGGTTTCTACTTTCAGGTAGTACACCAGATAGATGTACCCTTAGAAGCAGATGTTTACACATTTCTTCAGCCTTTTATCATATTCTGTACAGAAAATAATCTGAGATGATGTCTGTGCCCCAAAGGAGCTCCCTTTTCTTTCTCCAGATAACCATGCCCAGGTGACCCTGATGTTGGCTATGCTGAAAACACTCTCATGTGAGATGAGCATCCTTTTCGAGGGCTTGGATAGGATGCAGACACTGAAAATTAGCTTTCTAGTTGTAGTCCATGTGTTTGAGATGATACTGAAGCCTCCCATGCCCCCACACAGAAATTCAGTAACAAATTCTGAGTTCCAATCAAGCCTGGATGTTAAAAAGTAAAGGACTACTACAAACATCGAAACAAAATGTTAATGAAAGACCAGAGAGTTCAGGTTTAATTTCCTCCTTCACCATCCCCAAATGCCAGGGAGCAGAGTTTGATGACGCATAAACTTCTCTTTCCCCTGTTCTCGGGGGTCCGCAGCGGCCTCCGTGAAGGCCAGGGCTGGCTGGTGGGTCTCCTTGGCGGTGTGAGCTGGGTCTTCTGTTAGTGAAGAGTAACTTCACTTCTTGTAGCTCTCACTTTCTTGTAGCTCCCGAGAAAGATTGCTCTTTTCTGTGAGCGATGGCAAGTAGATGTTAAGATCCAGGACTTTTCCAAGGGGTGAGATGTGGACTGATTTTAGGGAAAAGGAATAGAACTGGATGTCTTTTAAGTTTCTGACAATTTGACAAAGAAGAATTCAAGACGGAAATGTGAGGGGTTGCGTGGTCCAATAAAAATAAGAGACAAGAAATTTGGTGAGAATGGGAAGAACACCAGTTTCCATTAATTTCCCTGTTTTGTGCCAGTGTTCAGAAGCAAGCCAATGATTGAGAGGTTTTTAAAAAGAAGCATTTTCCTTTGTTGCCAAAATTTGGCTCATGAAACAAACCATGCTTTGTTCTTGAAGTAACAGCTCAATATGTGATTTTTTTCCCCCATAGTCTGCATTAATTGCCAGTGGCTCCACTATAGGAAAAATGCACATGTCATGTCAGGTGTGTGATGCACCTTTTAAAAAATTCTGTTTTATCAGTTCCTAATAGTTTTTCTAATGGAAGGTATGATTAGTAAATATCACACCTTAGAATGCCCCTCCAGAGGACTGACCTGGTGATTACTCTTCCAAAACTCTCTTCTATGTTGTTTATCTGAAATAAATATGTATGTGTATATACATTTCTGCACACTTACACATAAATATGACATTTACATGGATAAATGCATGTTAATTTATTCAAGAAATAGAACATACAGCTCCAGAAGCAATGAAATGAATGCAAAATTGTTTTGGAAAAACCAATTTTCTGGAATAGTAACTTCTTGAGAAATAGCAACTGTACTTCAACTATTTTCATTTATTGGAAAAGACATGTTTAGCATTTTAGAGAAGGGAAGAGATGGACAGGACTATATCATGTGGGCTGTCCCAAATAGGACAGTTTTGGTCCATTTCAGTCTTGAATTTCCTTGTTGTCTTTTCTTCCTTCTTTTCATGCCCTATAATTTTATACCAATATATTTCCACATCCACATCCTTAACCATGACATCTATTATCTGTCACATAAAGCTCCCCTGGCGGCTCAGATGGTAAAGACTCTGCCTGCAACGCAGGAGACCAGGGTCAGGAGATCCCCCGGAGAAGGGAATGGCAACCCACTCCAGTATCCTCGCCTGAAAAATCCCACGGGCAGAGAAGCCTGGCGGGCTACAGCCCATGGGGTCCCAAAGAGTCGGACACAACTGAGTGACTAACACTTGACTTTTAAAAAAGCTGTTTGTTAGTTGGTGGGATTTTTCATATTGCATGTTTAGGTCTTCAGAGGAGGAGCCTGTTTATGTATTAAAAAGACGCTCACAAAGGAAACTCTTAACCCACAAAGGGCCACCTCTGACCTGGCGGCTCTGATGCTGCATGGGCATGCTTCTGGCTGTACCAAGACAAAGCCTGACGCCAGCCACAAAAGGCTGATTCTTCCGGGGGAAGCGGGGGACTCGGTTTGCAGAGACAGCAAAGCAAGTTTTCTCAGATGGGACGTGCTCCAGGCTGGCCTGCAGTAGGTGCGGAGAGAAAGTGCACGTGAGTGGGAGTGTGTGCACCTGTGGAGCTGGGTGCACGGGTACATGTCTGAGTTGTGGGCGTGCGTGTGTGTGCACGTGTGTATCTGTGCATGCATGTGGAAGGACTACCCCAAGGACTAAAACCACATAAGCTGATGCTTGCATAATCAGTGCGTGTAGTTGACCCGGGGCCACCTGAAAAGATAAGGCATCATTTCTAGCCCCCTAGCGCCCCCCCCACCATGTCTCTCCCTCAGAGTAAATGACAGACGGGGCGGGGTGGGGGGCAAGTGTACTGCGGGGAGGGTCACAGCCCGCCCCTCGGGGCTCCTCTGACTCTTAGGACAGTGCTGGGACACTTGACTCGGTCCACGTGGGCTCTGGCGGGATACCGCGAACCGCCTGCTTGGGCTTGGAGCGCCGCGGGTGACTGCGGGGATGGATCGCGCGGCCTGGCGCTGGTCCTCCGCGCCCTTCCCGCGGTGGGCGAGTGCGGCGGGCAGGAGGATCGCCGCCGGCCCGAACCGGGCCCGGCCCGCCCCGCCCCGCGGGGGGCGTGGTCCCGAGAGCCGCAGGAGGAGGAGGTGGCCGGGCTGCGCGGCGCGCGATGGCCCCGGACGCGGGACGGAGGATGCTCGGGCTGCCGCGCCAGAAGCTGCGGAAACTGTTTCTCGGAAAGGTAGGCGAGCCCTCGCGTTG